CTGCCTGCCCTGCAGAGGAGGGGATCTCTCTGCTCATGTGGCACTTAATACAAAGGGTGGCTCAAGTTAGTCGTGGCCTCTAAGTGCCACAACAATACCACTAATAATCAAGGTTACAATTTTACTGCCAAGACTGTATTATTATGTGGCATTATATGTTTGAACATGCCTATTCTCATTTCTAGCAAAGGGCTCAGCTCAGTGCTCCCTGTTATAAATCACATGCTAATTGTAAATGTAATCTGAACAGCTTTTACTTTTCTTTTCAAATGACAGTATAGGGCATAAACTTTGTTGTGATGTTGTGCTGCTATTTTGCCTGAGGTGCTTTTGTCCTCTAGCACAGCTCCACATGTAACATATCAGCAAAATACTGGGAGGCCAAGAGCAGAGTTTGCATAAATTGCTTATATTGCAGGATTACGCCAACAGCACTGTCATTACTGCTGGTAATTTGATTCTAGCCCATCCTTTGAAACATGCAACTTGAAGAAACTAAGTACCCGTTAGGATGGATGTTCCTAAATGTGCTATCAGCCTGAAACTTTACATTATTTTAAAATACCTGGTAAAAATGAAAAATGCACACTCAGTCAAACATTGGTTTTTATCTGCACATCAGCATCAGATTGTTTTAATTCTTGATGAAAAGTCAATGCTTGGAAAAACTCAAGAGCAACGAGCCAAATTCTGGCCTTGGCGAGATCCCAGTTCTCCAAAGGCTGAACATCATCTGAGCAGTGCTCAGAAGCTTATGCCCTGTATGAGTCACTTGTACCTCTTTATTAGCAGTCCCTGGGAATCTGCCCCAAAGACAAATGGAATATTTCTGGCTCTGCCCTTGGGCTTTAGTGGGATTTGTACTGGTATAACAGAACAGATTGGAATGGAGATGTGACCCATTTTGGTTCCAGCTGGTGATGAGCTCCATTTCAGGAGTTTTTAAAGGCTAAATCTTCACTTGTGCCAGAACTTCCAAAATCCCTGGGCAACCTGCAAGTCCTGTTGACACCCTCAGATGAGCTCTTTGAAGGCACTTGGAGGTGAGCTGCTGTGGTGGTTCTGAGGCAGCTGATCTTTCCCCAACATGCTGTACAGGCACCTGATCCCATAGCATGGACTCCCCACTGCCATTTTGCCTTTAAACTATCCAGAGGGCCAAACACAACACAGAAACACAGTTCCCTTCCTTCCCAGCTGGCAGCAGCTGCCCTTCACTACTGCACATGTCCCAGCTTAGCGAACATCCTTGTGTTCCACATCCCCTCCCTACGCTGAACGTGTGTTACAGAGCACGGGGTACCCATCTTTGCTCACCCAAAATGTGCACAGCAAATGAGGAGGGAAGGGATGCTGAAGGCAGGCAAACAGCAAGAAGATTTGGGGTTGGGGCCCATTTTCCTTTTCCTATTTTAATTAGTTTGGGGAGTATGTTGTGCATTTCTTGTTTGGATATTATTTTCTTCTTTTCCTAACACCAAGCAGGAAAGTTGCATACAAAACCTGACAACCTCATGATTGTAACCTTGAAAGCAAGACTTCGGCAGGAACTGTAGCCAAAGTTCCCTTTCAATACTCAAAATAAGATTCAGTGTCCTCCTTCACTTGCTGAAGACAGTTAAAAAATGAAAATTTAGTAAGTCTGACAGGCTCACCAATGTACAGTGTCATCTTTCAAACATCCTATTCTCTTTTCTTGGTTGCAGCTGGACAAACACCAGCAACTTTACTCAGCCCTTCTCACCTGTTGCAGCTCTCAGAGCCCTCCTCCCTTTTCTGCCTTGCTCTAAGGAGCAGACAATTACCCTTTTCCCTGCGGACAGCCTATAATGAGCTATTTTTATTCTCTCTGCAGTTCCCTAACTTCCCCATGCCAAATACTCACTAAGAGTCATCAACCTTCAGCAAGGCCGACACATGAATCAAATCTGCTGCCAGGTCATTTAGGAGATGAGCCAGTTTAGAGTTAGGGACATTTTTTAATAGTCCCAGACTGAGGAAATATTTTAAATGCTACAGCTTTAAAAAGTCATCTCCAAACTTTTCAGAATAATTCTATTCTGAGTAACAAACTGCAGATGAAGCTTCAGAGGACTGGCTTCCTTTAGGAACATTAGGGCTTATAATAAACTATTTTTCTCCACTTCATAGATCAGCCCACCCACCCATTCTTCCACCTACAAGTGTAACCCTATATACAAATGTATAAGGCCCCAAGAGGAAGACTCATTTAGACTATCCTGTCCTTGGTGATTTGCTGAATGATTTGCATCACAATTTACGGGAACAAAATGTTTTTAGTTATCTTATCACTATGTATACCGCTTTTATTTCTCTCCAACTGCTTATCACTTTTTCTCCCTCCTACATTTTCATTTCCCTTCAAGCTACAGGAGCTACTGGGCACTGGTAAACTGATGCTGCACAATCCCTCTGAAGCAGATGTTTAGCAAAGATAGGTGATATGATCCATGCATAGAAAACTCTTACCTATCTCTCTGTGGACATAAAGTTCTGCTTTGAACACAGTTACTATAGATCATCTAATGGAATTTTTATTTTTTCCCATCTAGCTCTTTTCCTTCTGTTGTCATAGTGGATCTATAGACAGGGAGAGTGAGGTACTGGGAGTTTTTCAAAACAAGGCTGTCTTAAAGTGAGTTATGTTTTGGAGAGTTGACAAAACAGTGAGGGGGAAGCTAGCAAACAAATATTTGCTTCAAAACTGAGGACATGAAATGTTATCCTGCAGGACCTAAAGTCCATGGGACATAGGGAAATCTCACACCTTCCAGCTTCATGTGGCAGTCTGTCTCCCAGTACAGCCTGGTTTCTGCTTCTTGTGTGAAGGAGGAACTGAAATATCCCAGAAACCTGGGTCTGGTCCCAGGGAAAGGGAAAGGAGACAGCTGCCCTTCCTAGGAAACGTGAAAAGCATATAGCTGGCCAGATTTGCTTAAAGAGCTTAGGAAGGCAACTGAAGGAAAAAGGTACAGCCTGTGCACTGGCCACAGTCACTTCTGACAGAAATGCAGCCTGCCAGGAACACAGTATTGCCCGGGGCAAGCATTTACGTGGCCGGGTTGTGTGCTGCTCCTGCAGACTGTGTCACTTGGCACACATCTGGCTGACACAGCTGGATCACTTCACTCAGGTGTTTTATTTTAGTGCCTGACATAACACTGGCAAGCCACACGCAATCACTGAAACCACTCTCCCATGCAGCCCCGTGGAGCTTGCTCATGAAGGAACGCTTTACACGCAGCACTTGCAGGCACCATCTCCACCATCCGCTTAGCCCTCTCAGCTGCAAATGCAGCTTTAGCACACAGCATCTAGATAAACTGAAAAGCTCCAAGGTTAAGTGGGAAATAGAAATCTAGTGACCCCTGTCTGGGCAAGTGAGCTTAATGACTTGTCTGCTGCTGCATGTACCAAACATGCTGGCAAACATCTGTCTGAGCAGCCCCTCCAAAATAAATGATTGATGGAAGCGATTTGCCTTTAAAAATGGGATAAGTCAGCCAGGAGTCCTGCTAGAAAAGGGTTAATGGGATATATGAATTGGTAGTGAGTGGAAGAGAGAGTAGAGAGGCTGGAGTCAGAGGCAACACCCCTTGTTAGGTGTTTACCATGTCGAATCTAAACAGCTTCCACTGCATATGCAAGGCAGATGAATTACTCTGTAAATCCTATTACTCTGTGTGGATAAATCTTACATTCAGGTTAACAAGTCTGGAGAGCTGGGGAATGGAAGCTGCTGAATGGATATTCCAGGATCAAAACAACCGAGGACATGGGAGGCGACCGAAGTGATATGCGTACACACACACACACACATCCCTCTTCCAGCATCCTTCTTCCCTCTATCATTAAATGGGAGGGATGCAGGACACAGGGGATCGCGTAGCAGAGTGTTTGGTGACATCCAGCAGGATTTATTTCACAGAAAGAGAAAGAAAACTTTGCTGCTGCTGTTAGCTTTACTAGGGGATTGCTCCCTTGACGCTTCAGGGTTTGTGCACTATCAGCTCCTCACACAGACCACAGACTTATTTTAAATTACACCCAGTAGTTTTACAGCCATAATACACAGTGTGCACACTCACACACAATGAATTTTCCTTCAGTAGGGGAGTTACTGCAGGTAAGTTGAGCAAGGCAGAATTTGAAAAAAAAAACCTACGGGAAAAAGACTACCACAGTTCAGCTATTTGGGACGCTCCTAACTGAAAGCCCAAGTAGTGTCAGAAGTACCTTTGGAAAACCTGCACAATGAAAGCAGAAATACAACACTCAATACTGCCAGTAAGCAAGGTTTCGTGTGCAAAGACATCCTCATCACAACCAGGCACACAGGCACAGCATACACCCATTTATTTAGCCCTGCAAAAAAACCCAACCCACAAATATACAATCTTTGTAAATTGTGGCAGTCAGAGCTGCTACACCATTTTTTCACCAGCCTTCTCAACTATTGTATCCATCTTCCCTCCCCACAGGGCAGAAAAATAAAAAAATTAAAGGACACGAGTTTCCCAAAAGAACTTGCCTGAGAGTTCTGGCAGCACCAGGGATAAAGTTTTTGCATATGTACAAAAAGAAGCATGGGAAGATCAATGGAACATCTGGCAAGCACAGCTGGATCCCTTTTCGATTCCTCTATTGATACTGCAGGGCTGGTGGAAAGTGTACACTCACAAGAGCTAGCTAACACAAGCAGATCTTTCCCCACTGAAATTCTTTCGATCCAGGGCACTACACAGAGGATAGTGTGGCAAGAAGTGTTCAAAAGCTTGGCAATTTTTTCATATTAAAGCACAAACACACATGCAGAGCCTGTTTGTAGCAGCTGCTGCTACTGCAGTTTGAGAGGTAAAATAGCACACAATCTCACAGAGACTTATACACACAAATCTGTATCACGTCACACGTACACGTTGCATACATGGCAATATAGATGCACACACAGAAGAGGAAAAGTTGGCAAAATGCCCTACCTGAGGATGGCTGTGTCCCCTTGCCTCACGGTGATGTTATCGGTACCTCGGGTAAAATCCACGCTGCGGACTGGCAGCCCTGTAGGGAGAAGGCAAAGCAATCTCAGTAGGACCAGCGGTAATTGTTTCCGATCAGGCTGAGCCCTTGCTACCATGGCTGGTCTCGTCGAGTTTCACTGTCAGTACTTGTCTCTTTCTCTGCCTGTGTATGTGGACAGATAGACGCAGAAAGAAAAACAATAATAATAATGTACAACTCTCGCTCTGATCGACAGTCCAAGAAAGGGGAGGTGATTTCACAGTCCTTCTCAGCTGCCACTTTCTCCTGCTCTTTTCAGTCTCTTGCTGGCTTCTTTCCCTTCCTTGCCTTTTTTTAAGGCTTTCCAAAAAAAAAAGAAACAATAATAATAATGTACAACTCTCGCTCTGATCGACAGTCCAAGAAAGGGGAGGTGATTTCACAGTCCTTCTCAGCTGCCACTTTCTCCTGCTCTTTTCAGTCTCTTGCTGGCTTCTTTCCCTTCCTTGCCTTTTTTTAAGGCTTTCCAAAAAAAAAAGGAAAAAAAAAAAAAAGAAAAAAGAAAAAAAAAAAAAAAGTTGAGCAAGGCAGAATTTGAAAAAAAAAACCTACGGGAAAAAGACTACCACAGTTCAGCTATTTGGGACGCTCCTAACTGAAAGCCCAAGTAGTGTCAGAAGTACCTTTGGAAAACCTGCACAATGAAAGCAGAAATACAACACTCAATACTGCCAGTAAGCAAGGTTTCGTGTGCAAAGACATCCTCATCACAACCAGGCACACAGGCACAGCATACACCCATTTATTTAGCCCTGCAAAAAAACCCAACCCACAAATATACAATCTTTGTAAATTGTGGCAGTCAGAGCTGCTACACCATTTTTTCACCAGCCTTCTCAACTATTGTATCCATCTTCCCTCCCCACAGGGCAGAAAAATAAAAAAATTAAAGGACACGAGTTTCCCAAAAGAACTTGCCTGAGAGTTCTGGCAGCACCAGGGATAAAGTTTTTGCATATGTACAAAAAGAAGCATGGGAAGATCAATGGAACATCTGGCAAGCACAGCTGGATCCCTTTTCGATTCCTCTATTGATACTGCAGGGCTGGTGGAAAGTGTACACTCACAAGAGCTAGCTAACACAAGCAGATCTTTCCCCACTGAAATTCTTTCGATCCAGGGCACTACACAGAGGATAGTGTGGCAAGAAGTGTTCAAAAGCTTGGCAATTTTTTCATATTAAAGCACAAACACACATGCAGAGCCTGTTTGTAGCAGCTGCTGCTACTGCAGTTTGAGAGGTAAAATAGCACACAATCTCACAGAGACTTATACACACAAATCTGTATCACGTCACACGTACACGTTGCATACATGGCAATATAGATGCACACACAGAAGAGGAAAAGTTGGCAAAATGCCCTACCTGAGGATGGCTGTGTCCCCTTGCCTCACGGTGATGTTATCGGTACCTCGGGTAAAATCCACGCTGCGGACTGGCAGCCCTGTAGGGAGAAGGCAAAGCAATCTCAGTAGGACCAGCGGTAATTGTTTCCGATCAGGCTGAGCCCTTGCTACCATGGCTGGTCTCGTCGAGTTTCACTGTCAGTACTTGTCTCTTTCTCTGCCTGTGTATGTGGACAGATAGACGCAGAAAGAAAAACAATAATAATAATGTACAACTCTCGCTCTGATCGACAGTCCAAGAAAGGGGAGGTGATTTCACAGTCCTTCTCAGCTGCCACTTTCTCCTGCTCTTTTCAGTCTCTTGCTGGCTTCTTTCCCTTCCTTGCCTTTTTTTAAGGCTTTCCAAAAAAAAAAGGAAAAAAAAAAAAAAGAAAAAAGAAAAAAAAAAAAAAGAAAAAAAAAGTCTTAGCAGAACCTTCAAATAAAAAAGGGGGAAAAAGAAGCAAGACGAAAAAGTCAGGTAGCAAAATAACTATGGAATAACAATTCAATCGACCCGTTTAGAGTGATGAAGAGAGGTGAAAAAAAAAAAAAAAGGAAAAGGAACAAGAGGAATCCTGTGCCACTGGGATGCGGGAGGGGATAGTCCTGTGGCTGTGCAGCCTCCAGCCCCGCGCTCCCTCCTAACCCACTTTCCCAGGCGGAGCGAGGGAGGGAGGAGGAGGAGGAGGAGAGAGGGAGAGAGGGAGGAGGCAGCCTTACTCGTGAGACGGCAGCTCGGCACCACGGCGGCGGCGGCGGGCGCGGAGGGGCCGCGGGCCGCGCTCCCATCCCTCTGCCGCGGGCGCGGCCGCCCGGGGGCCCCGCTCCGGGGACCGGGGCTGCCCGGGGGACACGGAACGGCGGCCGGGAGGGGAGGGGGGCACTGCAGCGGGGAGAGGGGGCTTGGAAAGGCATGAGGGCTGCAAGGCAGAGGGGATGAGCCCCGAAGGAGAGGGAAGGAGGGAGAGGAAGAGAGGGGGCTGGAGAAAGGAGGAGAGTGGGGAAGTGGAGCGGGAAGCAGAGAGAAGGCAGGAGCAGCCGGGAGCTGCCGAGCGGGAGGGAGGCACAGGGAGTAGGGCACAGAGGACGGAGGAAGGTACGGCCAATATTCTCAAGATGAAATAGTGAGGAAAGAGGGTCTGTGGCCAAAAGTGCAAACAACTTGGCTTAGCGATCTGAAGCCACACGCTAGCTGATTTACAGAGCAGCATCCTTGGCAACTGCCTCTGCAGCCTCAGACCTTGCTTCTTCCCCATCTCCGACTTTCCTCTCGCCAGATAACCAGTTGTACATCCCTCCCTCCCTCCTTCCCTCCCACCTCCCTCCACTCAGCCCTTCCCGTCCCCCACCCCCTTTCCCAGCCTCGGAGCGACGGACCGGAGACAATGCCGGCATTGAGCTGGCCGCGGTGTGAATGCTCGGCCTGTGCTGCCGGCTGCCAGAGCCCGCAGCTGAGCCCCGCGCCGCCGGCAGCAGCGCTGCCCACCCGGGAACGCTCCCGCAGCCCACAGCCCACCGCCACCGCAAAGAGAAGGGAGATTAAATTAATGGAGAGGAAGAAGCTTTATGGCTGATGCCTGCCTGCCATTCCACCAGCCCGATCTCTGCCTGCGAGAGGGATCAGAACTGCTCCTAGGGATGCTTCGCTAATGTAATGAGCAAAGCACGGCGGGGCTGGGACGGGGAAGCAAAGAGGGAAGGGGAGGTTTAAGACGGGTCCAGAGAATCAGGTGCAAGAAAAGCCATGGGGTTACTCGGCTGAGAGCTGCTGTCCTGTGTGGTTACAGCACTAGTACACGTGCAGGAAGGGAAAAACCAGGTCTTGTATGTAGCCTGCTTCACCCCTGCTCCTGTAGCCTTGTGGGACACAAGAGCGCTCAAACTGAAGAGACATAAGGAATGCCGCAGAAATGGCCATGTGGGACCAGATCAAAGGACCCTTTAACCCTTCCTCCTGTCTCCAAGCAGCCTAAAGCCAATGCCTGGTGAAGCTCTCAAGCACAAGGCAAGCATGCAGTGGTACTGCCCCAGGGCACTTATCTATTTCTTGTGATTTATGGCTAAGGCATGTCCCCAGCCAGTGGCACTGCCTTTGTAGTTAATGGTACTTGAATGATTTTCTTCTTCCAGGAACACATCCAGTTCCTTTCTGAACTCCTAGAAACTGGCCCCTGCAGCCTTGGTATGGAAAGGCCACGCTGTCTGGGGACTTAAACAATACCTGCAAGTGTTAAAGGCCCGCAAATCAGGGACTAAGGTCATGACACTGCTGCTCCAGTGCCACGCATGCAGCAGCAAGAAGAGATGACTGCTTTGTATTCAAGCCAAGGAGTGAGGCAAGTCAGACGTTTCCTCTGCAGTAGACTTGGCACAGATAGCACCAGAGAGGGAGAGGAATGAGGAGCTAAAGGGGTTAATTCATATACTAGATGTGCCCAAGCTATTGCAGAGGGAAATACCACCTCACAAGGATGCTCTGGAGAATACCATGTTGCTGACACCTGATTGCTGACTAGCAACCATCACTCTAGGGTGGAGAGTGCAAGACACAAGATGCATCAGGCTGCTGGCATGTCAGAAGAGGGGCATCACCAAGGGGAAACCTCTGCACTCCTCGTGGCAGACTTTGAGTACAGCTAAAAGTCCCATTTGAAGTTAGCAATGAAAGAAACACACCCATCTTGCAAGCCAGTGATGCATGGATCCTTTTTACAAGGGTCTACCAAATATATTTCATCTACATTTAATAAGAGCTATTGTACGTTAATTAAATGCCCATGGAGTAAGGAAAATATATTTGTCAAAGATTAACTATTATGCAATGCAAGAAGCATCTGCCACCCAACTGCTAGAGCTCACTAAATATTTCCTTATCTCAGAGTATTTACTTAGGAGGCAATAACTATCCAGTTAAATCTAAATTTAATGCTTAGTTAAATATAGTTCATAGAAAGTGGCACCAATATGTTTTATACAGAGAACAACAGAGGGGGTTTCAGAGAGGGAGAAGAAAGGAATCCTGTCTCCAGGCTCCAGTAAGATCCTGATTCAAGGTGGGACTGCATGTGGCCATGCCCCCCTACCAACAGAGGTGCATCACAGAGGGCTCAGAGGCCCCTCTCTGCTGATCCAGCAGTACAGGAGATGATTTAATCTTCTTACGCATTTATACAACCCTCATTAGAACTACTGTAGCATAACTATTTAATAATAATAATAATAATAATAATAATAATAATAATAATAATCAGAGACATGAGGAAGAAATTCCCTTGAGAGCCTAGTGAACCTTGTGAAAAATAAAGCAAAACAAAACATAAAGCGGATAGGTCTTATTTGCTTTTTGAAGTGTACAGAAGCAAAAGGAAGGGGTCGCATAAGTGTAAAAGGCCAAACAAGCAGGAATCACACAAATCCTAGGAGAGTGCCTCATGAGGAAAATAAATAATGTTATTTTTGTATGTGCTCCCAGAAGAAATAACTCTCATACCATCTCCCCCTGCTGGAAGCAGATAACGAAACAGCAGGTCTGGCTCCTAACTTTCCTACCTTCTGAAAACTTGAGGAAAAAATTCAGGTAAACAATCAGAGCATGGACACCACAAATCCATAGCACAGCCTTTTCATGCCATTTCTCAGTACTCCTGGTAGGTGCAGGACTGGCAGGATGAGCACGACTGACCAGATTTTGTCACTGTGCAGTTCAGGAATAGATGGGGCAGCATGAGCTCAACCCTACAGGTACCACATCACTCCCCTCCAACACAAAACACTTAAACCCTCTTTAAAGGGAACAGGGCCCAGAGCAACACACTCTGATGAGCACAGACTATAAGGCACAGCCAGAGA